ATGACAATCAAGTTCTAATCCTCTTTGAAAGTCTGTGTTGTTCTCACACAATTCTGTAATGACAAGGGGAGGACATAGTGTGAAATACTAAGTATTAAAACTCTAAGTAAGAAACACAGCCACATTAAAAATGTGCAATTTGATGCAGTTTTTCACTACAGATACACTCCTAGAAATGAAGATACTATACTGATACTTCTGCTTTCTTCCAATACTAAGAGGTACCTTTTTCTTAAATGGATTGACTTTCAAATGCAGATTTTTGAAATTTAACTTATTTTTAAAATCAAGACAGAAGTCTGTGATCTACATATTGAAAAATACATGCATAGCTATATATAAAGGCAGAAATCCTATTATATTTGTCTTGGATTAGGTTTTTACATAATACTGCTACTTATTTAATCTTTTTTCTCTAAATTCAGTGTCCCAAAATGTGCAGATACCTTTCTTCCTCAAGGAATTTTCTGCCTTTCATGCTTTTTTAACCTAAGAATTATGCTTCCCTTTGAAATGAAAGGTAGTTGTAAGTTTATAGAGCCTTTTAATTTCTTAATTGTGTGACGGCTTAGTACCTGTGTAGCTAACTGGCTTTGAGATTAGATAGAGTTGGTGTTTGGTTTTTATTTTTCCTGATGGATCAATCAAAGATGAGTGATTAAACATTAAAAAGTGAAGTTTTCTCTTGAAGACAGTGCCAGGAGTAGGTGTACCTTCATTTAAGACAGTAACAATATGGCTTATGTAGATTTCCCAGCTTCTTGGGGAGAAAATAAAATTCAGGATTATGTAAGTTTGTATCTCACCAATCAAACAGGTCCAGATATATTTATATTTTTCTATTTATTTGTCCCTAGAAACAGTTTATCTTTAAAATTTGTTAATTGAGGCAGTGCCATCTTTAAAACCAATTATACTTATGGAGAAACATTGAACAATTTTATGTTTTTTCTTCAGAAAGGGTGTGAGGCAAGCTGAAGACAAAGGAAGAACTATCAAAAGTTCTGGTATGAGCAAAGTGCAAATGTGACTTCATGATCATATGTATAATTGTCATGGTTTTGGTGGGAAAGAACCTTCTATTTTCTAAAATGTTTGGTGCTCTATACTGAATTAGAAATTTTCATTTGGGAAAGAGAAGGAATGCCTGACTGGCACATTACGGATTTGCATAGAGAGCCAGTACCTAATCAGTCAATTGGCTCAAGCTGTAGCAAGTAATTCATGCCTTTGAGGATATTAAACATGAATTTACTTTGGTCTGAAAAATGATGCAGTAGGACTCTGCACTAGATAAAATGACAGCAACCAGAGTTCCCATCATTGTCACAAAAAGATCTGTTTCTTCAGTGTGTTCTTAATTCTAAGATGAATTCTAAGAGCTGAAGGGATTGGGTCGAACCTTGTCATGGTGCTAATCTGGGGCCATTTCGTTCTCCTGGCACATGGCAAACAGTAATGCTGGGAAAAGATTATATGTGCCTTTCCCTTCTTCAGTAGGGCTCCAGCTCCAAAAGAGCTTTCAACAGCGAGACATCTCTGTCCCAGGTCTTAGGGAGAGTCTGACTTTATTAAAGTCCCATCCATGTGGAGAAGGAACAGGGAGGATTTCTGTATCCCTCTTCCTGTTCTCACATCTACACCAGTGTGGGGGAAAGGTAAAAACAGAAGATGTCATTCCTCCCATGAAAAATCACTGCATACAGGACTAGAATAATTCTTTTGCAATATTTATGTGTATATGATTCTGTGTTGCCCTTTATTCATAATTACTTAATGAGTAATATTTGTGTCTCTGTACTCATGAATTACATTGATGTTCCTGTACCAGCACTCTTTGTGGCTCTGTTCTGACGTTGTTAATGAGGTGACCACAGGAATTCAGCACTTGATAGAGGAAAAGGATTATTTCCCATTCAATAATATATTTGTTAATCAGTATTCATAGTGATTGAAATATTGATAGCAAATGGATGATTACTTAATGGTTATCAGTGAATAGCTTATAGTTTATCCTTTTTGCTTGAAATGGAAGTGAATAAGTGAACTCTGGAAATAAATATATAAAATGCTAAGGAGTAAAGATGCATATTTTTGAGCATTGGTAGATACTGGATTCAAGTTGATCTTACAGTTTAGAACTAGTTCCCTATATTTTAAATATTTCAAGGCAATATATTAGTTAAAAGTGTGGATATAAAAAATAGGAATGTTGGTTCTATTTTCAACTAGGTTCTATTTTCACGTTGGTCCTATTTTCAGCAAGGTATTTTCAACTCAGCTATTCTGTGCAGAAAGCATAAACTTAATTTTTAAAGCACTTCTGTGCGATACTGTTGAGCATTTGAGACAGTTGGAATTCCACTTTTCATGTTGAAGTGTTTGCCTTTTGTTTTGACCAAAAAGGAAATCAAAATATGGAATATACAGATGTTTAAAGATGGCAGTCAAGACTAATTACAGAATTAAACCAAGGTTTTTTAATCTCAGAAATCAGAAAGGTGAGAAAAGTTGAGGTTTTGAATTTGGATGTAATGTCCAGTGCATTTAGTACATACCCTAATCCTACAGCTTTTTGAAGGACTTCAGTGATTCTTCCAAATCTTTGGGTAGCATTAATTACAAAGAGTCAGTATTAAATAGTAGAGGGAGCATTTTGATTGTTCATTTGAACAGCACCTAATGAATGAGACTTGGCTTAAAAAAAAAAAACATCTTAGGAGTAGATTTAAATAACATACCTCACTCTGCATCAAGAAATAGAATTTTTTTTAAAATTAATACCTATCATATATTGGATGCTACATATATTTTCAGCATGGCTACATAATGTGAGTGGTTTTAGTGATGAAATAAGACATGATAGCTAATGCTGTTCTTAAGCAGTTCTGTATTTTTTATTCGTAATATATTTTTTAATCAGCTTGTGTTCTGCTTTGTATATGTTGTATTCACATTTAATAAAACTGGGACTCAAAATAGTCTTGACTGTTAAGCTCCAAGATAATTTGTTCCTTTTTTCTTATCATTTTCTAATGATAAGATGACTCAGTTTTGCTTTGGTTTAAGTTAGAAAGCAGAATACCTGGATTTACCCCATTAGTCTTGAAAAAGTGTAATATTCTTTGCCTACTGTATGCAATTACAAGTGTTAAATATGTCAAACAAAATTTAAGATACGTAAAAGGAACACTTTATAATACAGGATATTGTATTTGGACTTGATTCATAAGCTACTGTCTGTGTACAAACTAGTCTGACATAGCTGCTAAATACTTTGGGGTGAACAAAACCACTCAGCATATCCCTTTAAATACAGATGCTAATACATCTGTTCAGTGCAAGAAGAAAAGAGTTGTTTCTGAAGTAAAATTAGACAATAGAGCCAATTTCATTTTTTATGCATGTGAATGTAGAGTGCTTGAGGTTATTAGTTGAAACTGAGTAACCTTTCCAGGCTTTCATCTCTTTCTTTTCAAATTTGAATATGAAAAGCATATTCAAGTCAGAGACCATCACTTTAATGACATTTGGCAGTCATTTGATTTATTAGATTTTAGAAAAAAAAATTCCTTTTAAATATTTCATCATTCTATGCTAATCCCAGTAATATTGCCAGCTGAAGCCGTGTACCTGTATTAGTGGAGACAGAATGGTGTGGAATTTTTTCTGTCATCCTAGTAAAATTTCCATGAATCTACTGAATAATAAAACAACCTTATTGAAATATTCAGATTTGGATTTTTAGTTAAAGTGTCTTAGGATACATAATAAAAGGAAATGTCTTTTGAAAGGAGGGGGTAAAATTACTTCATCAAATATTGAAAGGACTTGACAGCAATGGAAATTGTTCTTTATGATGGATATTTTTACAATAGGATACACCTGCTTTTCAGTTTGATTAATCATATAGTTTGCTTGGGGAAATGTAAGCTATCTCCTTAATAAATTAGAATATTGACTTGCAGTTCGAACACTGAATCTGGAAAGCTAATCTTCTGCATATGATTAATACTTCAAGTGATTTAAGTTTAAACTCAAAAATTGTCAAAATATTTCCACGTAGGGGAAATATTTCTAATAAAGATATGAACTTGAAAAAAAATGAAAGAAGTAAAAAAAAAATAAAATTGACATTTCTGTACTCCAACATGTTGTGTTTGCTCTTTGAAGAATGTTGTTTTTGAATGCTCACCTACATACTCCACTTTGGAAACCAGAGTGGCTTTTCTTTCTTCAGATTACCTAGGGAAGTACTTGTGACTTTCTGTTGAGTCTGACATTTACACTTAAATACAGAATTCTTATTACAATGTATCTGTACACAATACCATAAGCCTTGCTGAATAGTGTGAGACAATTTTACAAGGAAAATAAAAATGTAATTTTGCTTAAAAGAGAATAAGAGGTCTGATGAAGAACAACTGTGTTTAATTTTATTATATTAATTTTATCTCTTAAAGATATGTTTGATTTAACTTGTCAAGTTCAGTATGTGAAGTTGAATTCCATATAAATGCAGTTGTGCTTTACATGCCTAACAACTTTGTGACTTGGTGGATTTTTATTTAATGTGGTATAGTCTGCAGTAGACACGGTTCTCTTCCATTTGGAAAACTTTGGTACCTAATATTACTGAAACTGTTTGTAACAGTTACAGGATCACTTACAGGATCACTTTGCTGTGTAGCTAAAAATAATGGCAACTGCAATCAGTGGTTCAGATGGCATGGTACATAAAGATAATCTTAACCTAATCTTCTCCAGGAGACTATGACTATTGCAAAAATATTTTAAGCATCAAATCTTAATCAGTGTCAGGTGCAACAATATTCTTAACAGCAAGCCATGGGGTTTAGATTCTTACAGTGTCTATGTCAAATCAATCCATCAGTGTTAATTCTAAAAACTACCCAATGGTTCACATGGATGCTTGGTTTGTGTTAACACTTCAAGAAACACAAAATAATTATTTGGGTTTGTGTTTTGTTTTTAAATAGGAAATTGAAAAGTCTGGATTAAAATTATATCACTTAGTTTTACTAAGTCATGAATTACGCTAGATGAAATACAGCAGCTGAGTTTAGAATGCAGGTGATACAATTTCCCTGCAGAGGACACTCCACTGTCACTTCCAAACCCAACAGGTGGGCAGAAGAGTGACTGTAACTACAGCACTGGTGAGTGGGACCTATCCCTAAAATTCTGTCTTATGAAAATGCCTGCAACAAAGCCTATTTCCTCTACATTATATTGCATTTATCTCTGTATTGGTTGTATTTGTCATTCCTCTATTTTGAGAAATACTAATGATGGTTTTTAAGAACTGAGAGAAGGATGCAATTAATAAGTATAAACTAAAATACAAAAGTAGGCTTGTGTAAGAAATTGAAACTGCAATATATTTAAATATGCTGGTAGTGCATACATTTTACAATTAGGCTTTACATATTTTTTTTTAGAAGAGCATGACAAACTAATTTTTCTGTTGATACATGATACAGCAAAAGGAAAACATTCTATCCAACTATGTACAACTGAAATACATTTAGAGAAAATGTATAATGGACTTCATCATCACTTGTGAATACTCAGTGTACCTTTAATAAGAACTTTTTAAAATGGGAAATTACTCAGCTGTATTTAATACTAATAAATTGCTATTTACTGGAGAATACTTAATCCTGCATGTTGCATATGCTAGACTCTAATAAATGAACATCTGAAAGTAGTTGCTCTCAATCCACCATGCAATTGTTAACTTTTGTAACTCTGAGAAGGACATTGATCTTTGTAAGGCCTTGGGAAATAAAAAGAAACCCACCAAAAAAACAGTAATTCTGCAAAGTCCTGAATTCATTGAGGCTTCCTTCCATTCAGACAAATGGGATTAGTGACATCATATGCTAAATAAGATATTGTATAAATAAGAACTCTTTTTATGAGTTGGACAATTTCATCTTGTTAGCTTCTGTAGCCACTTCTCCAGATGTTCTAGTTAGGCATACACAAATGAAATACCTTTTTCAAAACCAATTGAAACAATACCATAAGCCAATAAAAGCTTCTAAAGGCTTTTCATTTCTCTTGCTTTTTGAATTCTCGTTGCTTTGAATATACTGGGCATACTAGTCATGGTCTAATTGTATTTTAGGTATTTGCTTGGCAAAGTTTAAAAATGCAGGAAAGATACTATGAATATAGAATAAAATTTCAGAGTTTTAAGGTATTTATGAAACTTCAATACATTTCAAGGTGTGATATTTGAAAGTAGCATCATGCTTTGGAGAGACTGTAATTCATAAGGCTTTCCAATGTAGTAGTGCTATATTTTATTATTTCTGCTAATCATAACCTGATTGTGCAACTTTGATTTTTCTATTTACAGCGTGGGTATGGATTATAAAACTGTTTGAACTTCAAAATATCCCAACAAATCAATATTAAAATGTGGGTTTTGGTCCTAATTGCTTCGGGACTGTATTCTGCAGCATTATACTAATGTGGTTGTTATTTGTAGAGGTTTGCTTAGATAATTGAGTGTCTAATTTCTACTCAAGATTAGCTTTGCATATAGGGGGAAAAACCTAATGAGTCTGCCTTTTGATAATACCAGTTGAGAAGCCAGTAAGATAATAGTAATGAAATCTGCATGTGTGTTTACTATAGCTTTGCTGCATCTCTTATTCATGTCTAATTAGATTTGAGTATGCTGAATATTTGAGGTTAATTGAATATTTTCTTTAATAAAAATGAGATTTGCATGGGTAGAAAGAAATTTACTTTGAGCTTAGAAGGAAACTAATAGTCTTTTAGATTTTTGCATGGAGAAAATCGGAGTAAGTCCATAAGTAATCTAAAAAAATCACTAATTCTTATAATAAATAAAGCATTTTATATTATCTATAACTGGAACAGATTGACTGTTTTTAAAACATTTTAACTGCTACAAAAGGCTTCATGAGATTCATTGCTTTAAAAACATTTGAAGTTTTTCCCATACCTTTTGCACATTCTTCACTGTCATTGTTTGGCATGTGAGATACAGAAGATTAACAGAACCTTGTTGAAAAACAGTAAAATAGAGTTCCAGTGATCTGGACATACAAGATCCCATGAGTTTCCATTTTCACAGGTGGTTCAAGCATGTAACTTGGCATTAATTGGGTTTTTTCAACTATGACTTTTTCACTAAGATTGGTTAGAAGATAATTTTCTTTCTTCCAGAGTCTTGGAATAGAAAATTGGATGGGGAAATTAAGACAGTGCAGGATTATGGTCCAAACCTCTTGATTGCTCATGACATGGTGTGGTACCTCCTGATGATCACAGTGACTGAGAGGAGATGTTGTGTTTGTTACCACTGAAAAGAGTTATTAGAATATCTGAGGATGTTTCCAAACACTACAGGCCCATACATTCAAAGAACAGTAAAACTTGCCAAATTATACAGTGGTTCTAGAGAACAAACAGCAGAAATAGAAGAAAGATTTATGAAACCTGGCAAACGTTTTATTTGATATTTAATTGGGAAACTATTTTCTCAAAAACTTTTCTCTCTTAGGTGAACATGTGACTATTTGAACGACTTGAGGTGCAAGTGGAAGTAGAGAGAAGTGTGGGAAAGATGGGATGGACTTTGTATTAAAAATAAACTTCTGAAGATCCCTATTCTAAAAGTGGATTCCTTAAATGTTAAGGCTTTGTATCAGGAAACATTGTTATAATTCTGTGTGTTTATTCCTTTTCTGTGATAAGCTCAAGACTGTGGAGCATTTTTTTCTTCATTTGATGAAAATCTGCTTCATCATGTAGTTGTTTAGTTTTGTTAGAATGTGAACTATGAAAAAAATGAACTATAGCAGAACAGCAATATTTTGAATTGCAGAGATTTCTAACAAGGTTTCAGGGTTATTGTAATCTTCAGCTTTTGCTAACTTTAAAATTATAATTTTAGGGGCAAACTGTCACAAGTTAATTTTGAATTATTCTTGCAATTAATTGGATTGAAATACGAGATGTTCCATGCCTTGCAGCAGTGTTAATGCTTCTAAGTTCAGGCACTACTAAGGGGTGCTATGGAAGCATGTTATTCATCAGGATCTAAAAATATATTTTCACTCTGGTTAATCATTTTCCCCAGATTTGAATGAAGTTCTTGTGCTGAATATTTTACTTACTTGCCTGAATTTTTCCATTGAGTTAAATGAATTTGAACTCTTCAGGTTTGTTAATCATTTGCATTTAAAATTGTTTTAGATACAATATTAGTAAACTTAGGAAATTCCATTTGGGATGCTTATGGGAAAGGGAAGAATCTGTTGATGTGGCATTTCCTTTGAAGTTCCCTGGCTGTCCATCTGTCTCCCTGCTGCCTCCCCATCACTTCCTGTGGTGGCCTCAGGAGCACTTGGCCATGAGAGCAGCACATGTGGAAAGTCATCCACAAGAACAGCAGATGACAATAACAGCTTCTTTAACCTAAGAAAGTAAGACATTGTGATGGAAACTGAGGATTCAAAGACAGAATGCCAGTGCTTTGCTTTCTGTTAGCAGAGCAAAAGGGGGCAAATTGCAGATTCCTTTGATGGAATGACCCAGCAACTGGACTGGCTGTGGTAGTGACCCATTGCCAGCAGCAGTTCTGCTGCCCATCGGAGCTGGGGAGCGGCTTTGGAGAAAACTGAAACATCAGGAGCTCTGGGAATGGGCTTCCTAGCACTAGTACAGATGTATCCTTCAATAACAAGGAATTTAGGCCTTCTTATCTCCTCATATCGCTGTATTCCAATACTCCCAGCTCCATAGCAGAGTTGATACTTTCTGGTTATACAAAGAAGTTTATTTCGATGAGATGGGTTAAAGATTCCTGTCTGCACAGGGGAAAAGGAAACCTTACTATGATGTAGAGTCAAAAAGAATTGTTGTGAGTACAGTGGCAGAGTAATTAGAAGAAAGTGAATATTAAAAATGTTGGAGTTTAATGACAGAAATTTCTAACTCCGCCTTCTCCCCATAAAAACAAATTAAAACTCTTCTGAAGAGCTATCTTTTATTCTTAGGGGTCTATATTCATTCTAGTTCTGTCCTAGCAAAACCTTTTCATTTTCATTTCTTTATTTAATTTTTTTAAAAAAATTCCTTTAACACCTTTTCAGTTTTTATAATCTTTCACAGTAGTTTGCTGATATTTTCAGACTGATACCATTTGCAGGCAAGCAGCTACTTTCTCTAATTTAAGATGACCAAAAACTTCTTAAAGAATTTCTTAAACCCTGCTTCTCATTCTTCTAGTATGTTTTCCAAACTAAGGCTAACTTGCACTCTAGGTCATATTAATAGTACAAAAATTAAAAGCTGATCCTTGTGTTTGTATTTTAAATTAAAACAATGAAAAGCTTTCAGAGCACTCACTCACACTCCCCGGGCTGTGGATTTTCTCCAGTCCATTGGTCTAGAGGTTTCTCTTATTGAAATATTGTGGCAGGAAAGGAGGATTAAATTACTGAGGCTGTCAAAAAGGACAAGCACTCTGCCATACATTATCATTATCACTGGCTTCCTCAGTGGAAGAAAATGCAGTAAATCACTTCAAATACAAAGCAATAAAGACCACTGGCTTTTAAAATCATGAGTGCTATTGCCATTAACAGAAAGTGACAGCTATGTGGCATGCTTAGATGCTGCTTGTATCTTTTTTGACAGTGTGCACATAAACCTGCCAGTGACACACCATTAGATCACATGACCTTTCAAATTTGATTCTAGCATTGTTGCTTTTCCTTAGAAAAAAAAAAGAAAGAAATGTTTATTTTTCTTTGTTCTTTTCCTCATACTCTTCTAAAAAGTGAAAAACATTTGATACTAATAGTAATTCTGATTTGCTTTGCAGTGATAAATGTGGTTAAGGCAGATAATTGTGCAGAAAGGGGTCTCAGGTCTGTTCTAAAGCCAGATCTACACACTGGCAGGTACACGTTAATGTTAGAAAACTCTGTTATAAGTCTTAGTAAATAATGCTTGTGGTTTGCCTTGTTGTTTGTCTCTTTTGAGGAGGTTTGATTGAGGAGTCAAGTACCTAACTAACTAACTAGAAAAAAAGTTGTTTCAGCTAGGAATGATAAGTGCATTCTGATGGGACTATTGCTCTTATTTCTTCCCTGTATTGATTCATGTGACATGAAATACTGCAACCTCACCTAATGCTGGTTTAGTGCTGTGGTTTGGGGTTTGGTTTGGGAGTTTGGTTGGTTTGTTTTAAAAAAATTTGCTCAGCAAAAGAGAGAATCTGTTACCAGTATTCCATTACTAATGAATCTGAAAAGCTCATATCTGCCCAGTGTAGTGTACTACATTTGTTGCTTTCTGAATTCAGTATGCTACTAAGAGTCTAAGAGCTGTAGGAAGTGTTCTTTGGCCTTAGAATTTCCAGAAATAGATAGATAGATAGATAGATAGATAGATAGATAGATAGATAGACAGACACACAGCTATTATGTGAATACAAATGAGAAAGAATATAAATTATTCTTGTCCAAGTTCATAATAATAATAGTAATAAATTTGGTTTTATTCCATTTTTTTTTATTGTGATAGTATGTACATTACTTATACAGAATGAATTACATCATTTGATTACATTTTCTCTTGAAGGTCAATGATTAAAATGGAATAATCACTAATTTAAAGATTAATTTGATTTGTGGGAGAATAGGATACCTACTGATTATATATGAAATGTTGGAGTTACTTGTAAATCTTTTAAACATGTATTTATTCACAAATCACTGATTCACTCCACAGTAAGGAGGAGGGATCTCTCTTCATTTCTAGATCTGAGTTTCGTGTCTTGGCCAGAAATCAGGTTTTACTGGAATGGAGCAGGGAACACCATAAAATGATTACTTGGGATGGAGTAGCAGAAGATTTGGAAATTGAAAAAAAAACAACTGAAAAATACTTCGTAATAAGCAAGTAGATGACTTATTCTACCATATAGAATAGGAAAGTGGATAATGTTCCACTAAAATTTGACAATGCTGAGGATAAATACTCCTTTTTTTTCCTTTTTTTTTTTTTTCCCTGAGGGATAAATTAGTAAAGGAAAACAGCTAGTCAGTATGCTGCGATTTCTCCTATAAATACTTAGATATTTTTGTACATTATTTTACAAGCCTAAGGTGAAAGTAAAGGTAAGATTACAGCAGCGAGCTTTCTGTCTGAACAGAAGCATTCACCTTCTACATGCTGCTGCCATGGTACTGTCCTCTGTTTCTGCAGTCATGGATGTGCCTGCCTTGGCTCGTGTTGAAATTTCAGTTCTGCATTGACTGAATAGGAAGACAGGAAATTCATCAGTAGTCCAGTTCCCCACTTGATCCTAGCAAGAGGACCACCAAGAAACAAAATTTATGGAAAGATTGTGCCCATACACCAAAAGTTTCCAACTCTGTGCATTTTAAACCTGGCCTAGTTATATCTTCAACACATGTTTTCTATCATGAGCCTTACAAACTAGTATCAGAGCTTTTTCAGCTGAAACAGGAACTTAACTAATGCTTTAAAGCTCAGGAAACCAAATTATCAAGGATATAAATATCATTGAAAATTGCCTGCAGATGGTTTAGCCTGACACTTTATTGGTGTTTGTGCTAGGCCAAATTATAGCAGCATAGGCAGTGTATTATGTGTATTAAGTAGTGTACTAATTTTTTTTTTCCTGTCACAATGAATGTTGCTGGAAATGATATTCATAATGATTTGATCCATATTGGAACATAAATAAATGGATAAATCACATGCTATTCTTTTCTTCTGAAAGAAGAATCACTTTAATGAATAGCTCTTGATACTTAAAGATATACTATTATAATACATAAACTTATTGAAGTTGCAAAGTTGCAACTATAGGCTAATTCTATAGTTGAAAGTGAACCAATGACCCTGAAAATAATGCATTTACAGCTTTATACTCTTGTCGTTTATGCTTACAAATAAATAAATGTTGGTTTGGCGTAGAATTTATATGAAATATATATTTTTTTTTTTAGAGTCCTATTTAGGTTGGTAAAGAACTTTCAGGTCACTGAGTTCAACTGTTAACCCAGCAGTGCACTTGTAAATATCTCCAGGGATAGTGACTCCATCAGTTCCCTGAGCAGCCTGTTCCAGGGCTTGACAACTCTTTCTGTGAATAAGTTTTTCTTAATATCCAGTCTAAAATTTGTTTGGAGTGGAATTCACTGTTCATGAATATACGATTTGAAAATAAAGTTTATTGCTATTCTTTCAATTTCGTTTATTGATATGGAATAATTTTAAAAGTTTATTAGAAATGTTGATTTTGGTTCCACATTTGCATTAATGGTTTTAGTTGCAGAAAATGCAAAAAATAATCAGTATCAAAAAATCAAAAATATGCTATTAAATAGAATTATATAAAATGTAAAGTACATGAGCATGAGGTAGTAGGAGACTAGGAAGTCTGTTTGAAATCCTTTCTAGGTTAGTAACTTGCAAACCACAAGGATGGTTCTGCTCTTTTGACAAGCATATTTTCTTTAAGTTTTCAGACAGTTGTTGTCTCTGTCATTAATATGGAGATTTTAGTAAAATATTTGCTTTTCTTTTACCTGTTTGGTGTGACATGGGTAGCCTTTTTGTTTTGTTTCTTTTTTTTTGTATAATGGAGATTCAAATTCCTTATTAATTTTAGGAAGATATACTTGTTAATATTTGTAAAACTTTGGAATAAAAACAGGATACAGAATTATTATCTCAGCATCTGGACTCCATCATTATTTACTTACATGTTCAGGTCTCTAACTCAGTTAATAGGACACATTTCTGGCCGTTCATTTGACTTTTTGTAACTGCGTCATAGTTATTCTTTTAATTCTGCCACTTTTGCCTGCATTTCAGCATTTTAAGAGTGTAGAAATTTCAGTTGTAGTGAAACTTCCCTGATTCCTCATGCTGTAGTTGAAGTGTAGAGACCTGGAGGTAGAGTGTGTGCTCTTCTGACAAGTGTCAGGACAGACACATGTGAGGAATGGAGGAATCCATTCTCCTAACAGTCACCCTGCTGTGATAACAAGAGTGAACAGCTTTGTGCAGGAGGTCTCCGGCCTGATCCTGACAGGTGCATCATTTCTTGGTGGGAAATGATTGTTATTCCAAGGAACAGACTATATGAAGTCGTTGTTCCCCAAAGTAACAAAATCGGGGCCTCTCTGTTTTAGAATAGAGCATGTGTACAGTGTAAGCTTCACAGCAATATACTGAATTCATGCACAAAGTTTTCTACTTGCTGCTTAAAATCTCTGATCTCTGGAATTAAAACAAACAAACAAACAAAAAAAAGGATCAAATTTTCCTATATAAGAATTGCTGTCCAGTTGCTTTAAATTACCTGCTGGTGATAATGCCTTTAAGTGTTGTTCTAAAAACAAAAATAAATACTCCTTCAGGCTTTCATTGTAAAACACATTTTAAGCTTAAAGCAATTATTTTTTTACTTTTCTTTTGAAAAACTGGTTTCATTTAGTTCTTTATTCTTTCCTGCAGTGCCTAGCAATTATCTTCTCATATGGTGCTTTTTTAACAGGATGTTAAAATTTCTTCCTATTCAGTAGGTTTGGAATTCCTGCAAGGGAGTATGTACTTACACCTGGTATTACAGAAAAGAAATGTGGAAATCAGCTAGAGGGAAAGTCTGGAATCCCAGAGAGAAATGTAGGAGAGAAACACTACCCATAGCTTTATTCATGTATTCATATTTTGTGTAAGATATCCTTTCCTGTAGCCTTAGATGTAACCTAACTTGATGTTACACATTTGAAATTATGCCTATTGTAACATTTTAGGTTGTAAAGCTCACAGACATTCACAGTTTGAACGATATTGCCAAGACATACCAAATGTTAGCTCTAAATTCCTGTCATTTTGTCAGTCTTGGTGTTTTTTGGCCCCAGCACAAGCCACTAACTCAAGCCAGCTCCAACACAATACTGGAATTATGTGTTTGAAAGAAAAGCCATACTTGGAGGCAATGGGTGTAATTTAAGTTCACAGAAGAAAAGCATATATTTTGTGTAGTTGTTTGTATAGCCATCTAAACAAGAATTGTACCATGGAATGGTAGGAGGGGGAACAAAAGTGAAACATTTCTGTAAGCCTGTGGATCCATGGCTACAACTTCTCTTTCCCTCTAGTACAGTTAAATAATACCAAAGATGAAGGGAAGATTTAAAAGAGAGGGTCTTGTATTATTCTTGTGATGGAAAATGCTGAATTTAATTGATAAAGAGTTCTTGTTTATGCAGCTGAAGAATACAGAACAGAATGCAGTTTAGTCTTTTTTCTGTTTTTAAAGTTGATTTTTAAATAAGTTTTTGAATGCAATTTTTTCTTTGTGTGTTTACCCTAAAATTTACAGTGCTCAGTGAGACCCCAGAAGATGAGCAGGAACTTTAATGGGAAAATACTGATTTTGCTGAATCTGTTTGAAAAAGGAGCCAAGAAATACCATTGAACAAGACACTGATGGTGAGTTTTAGAGACCACTTTCTTGTAAACTTTTGTGGCTTAAAAATGATTTGTCGAATTTCCACTTTTCTCTGCAAGATTTACTGTGAAAGTAATTGTTTGACATTGTGTCAAGAAGAAATTTTTTAGTATTAACTAAAGGCTTCCACATTTGTTTGCAAAAGTCTGCAGAAACTATTACTGTCATTCCTTAAAATATGTTTAAAAAACCCAAAACCAAACAGCATCCCCAGCTCATAGTAATTAGTGTATAAAACCTAAGAACTTTAAGGACATGTCTGCTTCCTGTAATTCTCTATTTTGTACAACATACTTCACTGTAATAGGACAATATATTTTTATTAAAATTTATGTCAGTAATTCTGTATTGCTGATGTCTGTATCTTATTTAAAATTACAGTATAACCACTAGAGTAGCTCCAGCTTTTGTGTCCTCCATATGAAACTGTATTCAAGACAGTATGAAATACTGGGGGGTTGGTTAGGGCTCAGTTCAGCATGAGCAGCCCTCTGAAAAAGCCTGTGAGCAGCCCTGCCCTGTGACTCCCCAAAGCCAGGTGAGGTGAGCAGGAGCTGTGGAATCTTCTCTTCCCTGGGCCATTGGAGAGTGTTTTTATAGTGCTCATCAGAAGACTTGAGAAGGTTACTCAGTCCTCTCACAGGCAGTGAAGGAAAATATTCTCCTTGCTTAGAGTTTCCTGTTGCCTGTGATAGCAGGGTCATGGTTACCAGTGGTGCATTTTTCTCCTCCCCCTTCATTTCAATCCTCTTTCCTATTGTGTTGAAGCTCGGGGAGGAAGCTGGGAGTATCTTTGTGACAAAGCAGCCCCTCTGTGGGTGCATGAACTGGCTCCAAGCCCGGACACAGTGCACACCAGGTGCTCTGCAGAGCAGGAATTCCAGTTTGCCCTGCTGCAATGCCAGGCCAGTGTGACTTTGGTACCTCTACTGTTGGGGGAATTACCATACCTTGACCTATGGGGAGCTGAGTACTGAGGGAAAGAAATAGATTTTCTTACCATTTCCATTATCATGCATGATTTGCATCCATACAGTAGCTAAAATACTCAAAGAAGAGTATAAATACTCAAAGTTCAAGGAACACTATAAGGAAAATGCAAATAATCAAATCCCCATACCCTAGAAAAATAATACACTGATTTGATGCACTTCTTAATGTGGCTGAACACTTAAGCTTCTCTGCACCCGTAATTTTTCTCCAAATATTTGTACAAAAGCACATTTCCTCTAAAAAGGTATTTTGTAGTCTCTCACTGGAAAATTGTTTTTGTTCTGTTTTTTAAGGCCATAGTTCCCATTGTCATAATTCCAATTTGATAGGACTTATTAGTGATACAAATATGATTTCTTACCCTTGAAAGTCAACTTTCACAAAACTCTTAAAAATCCTAATCATCATCTGAAAGAATTATTATGACAGGAAGGACTGGTTTTTGTTACTAGTTATTGTTCTGTGAAAAGCTAATCATTATTATGTAATGACAGCTACTTCAATATTGAGGAGCATTTCTTCCCCTAATCATGAGACATTTGAACCAATTTTTACTTTATGTGCATTATATCTATTAAAGTGATAGTAGCAGCTAAACTTATCCACACTTCTGCTCTTTCCTGCAGATGCTATAAAGTTATGTTTTTCTGTTGCATCCATAACATATAACAGTTATATTTTCTGAAAATGTAGACATTTCGAAGAATTTAAATTAATTTTGCATTAATATATGTCAGATCATGGCAGAAGAGCATGTTACTGTATTTTCTTGGACAAATTTATTGGAAAGAGATCTGTTCTCGAGATCTGGACATCGACTTCAATTAAATGTAATAGCATGATAAATAGAATTCCTGAGTAATATTTTCCAAGGTGGATATTGGTTTGAGGGAAAAAGAATAAACTTAGATGCAGAAAACTTCCTAGGACACTACCACATGAAGATGTAGTCATTCTCAGATACCATGAGCTTCATTCACTCTATTTGAGGACTGCAGGCATGGATCTTTTTCATATCTTGTTCCTTTCATTGCTGGTTGTGTGGAAGTGGCCTCTATGAAACTTGAAGCAACTAAGTGCATGGCTGAGCAACAGGATGGATGAAAAAGAGGCTGTATAGTCAAGACATCTAACAGTAAGTCTCAGTGATAATAAAACAATATGAAAACTGGTAAGATAGGGTTAACGTTCTGATATCATGAATTATAGTTATCCTGTTGTTCTTACAGTAAAAACAATACTGTCCTCTGAAGTCTGCTCTGAAGTTGACAGTTCACTGAGTGATTTATTCAAGAATATACAAAATACTTTGGATCTCTAAGAATAGCATCCAATATTTCCTATAATAGGTCTGTGAACAGGGTGAGTGATGGAAGGTTTATCCTGTGTTTTCCCTTCTCTAAACCTCTCCTGAGCTGTCCCAGCAGCCAGGCAGTTGCAACGTGAAGCATCATTGCATGTCCCAGAGTACTTATCCTAATTAATAGAGTAAATACATAACCTTGCTATTTGTCAGCTGTGTAATTTGCTTTGAAAAGATATGCTGGCAAGATTATTTGTTTTTATTCAAATTCCTTCTAGAGTCGTGTTAGGCAGCCTCATTGCTTTTTGTGCAGGACTGGGAAAGAGCCTCATTTTTGACTTAGCAGCTTTAGCAGCATGTTTTAATCACAGCAGCAGAGATTCTGGCCCTCTGGGCTTACTTAGATATTGTAAAAGAGTGCAATTTTAAATCATGTCAGCTAATTTCTGTAACATAGAAATTTTAAATACTACTTCAAAACCCACATACACAAAGATGAAGGTAGTTAGTTTAGTCTAGGGGAATTATCATCTTTGCTCATACTTCACTATTTTACAACACACAGAAGCTTGGAATTTAAATGATTTTGCATTGCACAAACTGGAAAGAACAACTTGCTATTTAAATACTAAAATTGTCCAGGCTGACTTGTACCCATCATATACAGAGTATAGAAAATGCATTAATTGGTATATCTTTTACTTAAAATTATTTCTGACAATGCATATATGTTTTCAGTAGAGCTTGGAACACCTTTATTTACACATTGTGAAAAATTATTTATTTATATAGACAATTATTATACAAATAGTTTTCTTTATTTCAGAGTTAATTCCAGCCTTGATATTTTCATTTATGTACGTTCTAGTTCTTAGAGTGCTCGGCTTCCAGTAGGTTGAGTTCCTGAAAAGTAGAATTTCTTTATTATTTGTTTACTTCTCCCTTTTTTTTTTCTATTTTTTTTTAACATACACTAGGAGCCTTTTATTCTGTCCAAATGCTAAGGAAGATTATCAGAACAGAAGTGAAACCTTAAATGAAATTGCTAATGCTGTTTTATAATGTTTCCTTTCTAGTGTTTGATTCACAAGATGATAGTGCAGTAATTGGAAAGCTCAAAGGAGCAGTGGAAGCTCTCCATGCACTGCCCTCAGTGGAGAGGGGAATGCAAAGATGACTACGAGGCATGAAAGGAAGTTTGCCTACAGAAGATCCTTCTCCCAGTGTAAATACATGCTTGATAGTGCATCAAAGATGAGATCTTTGTAATTCCTACAGTATATTTAATGTATAATTTATGTGAAAAGGACGCTTGATTTGTAGTTGTAAAGTTTTGTATACTTTTCAGTCTGTTTGTTTTTATATTTCCCCCCTAGGCTAAGAATATCTCCACAATGGACAACGTCTTGTAAATAATTAATACCTACATGATTGAACGATGTGCTTTATTTGCATTTTTAAGATTTTTTTTCCTACATAAAACAGTAATAAAAATGCAAGTCAAAATTTTAATTTTTAATAAAAAAACCATAAGCCTTAGAAAACTGATTAAAAATACTTTTATGTTATCCCTAATCACCCCGCTAAATGGAATGCCTGTGATTAGCCTCATTAAGAATTTTATACTGTGAAGATTTTATTAAAAGCAATATATGAAAATTACTTGGATTAATGTGTTAATCTGCCTCTTTAAAATGCTAATATCCATTTTATGCACATTAAATCTCAGTATGTGTTTTCTTTGATGCATGCAGTTCCTATCAATTAAATATAAAAAATTAGGCTAGTTGCAGGACTTATTAAATTACTGCAACCTTTTTTTAAATAACTTTTACCCTTCTACTAACATTATAATCAGCTGTTTATGGTTACCATAATTTGAAGTAGGGGGAGGGTAGGCACAGTCATTTTCTGTACAGTAGATGATTTACTTGCAGCCAGCATCTGTCAAAGCACAAAAAGAAGCCATAGAGTGTGATTTTGCTTCACCTACTTTGGGCTTTAGGGATGGGCAACTGTTTTCATTTGGGTTTTGTCACTTTTAGAACTTACATCAAACATATACAATAAATTGTTGTATCTGAATAACTACTGCCTAGTGTGGAAAGTTAATTTTACAGCTTTTAACCAATCTCAGTGAAGGATTTAATTGATATTTTTAATGGAGCTGTGAATCAATGCTGCAAAAGGATTGTCTCTTGAGAACGAGGATATAATACATTTCATTTTTTAATTTACTTTTTTTTATTTGTCATTTTCTTCAAAGGATTTTATAGACTGTGGATTTCCACTGTTTGCAAACAGGCTATGTTTCTTCATAAGCATATGTAAAGTATTCAGAGAGATAAGTAATTTATTAAAATCTACCTAATTTGCCGTGATATATTAAATCTCTGCTTCAGTGATCACAGACCATTTCATTTAGAGAATTAGGCATTCCCTCTTTGTGTGATTAAAGCTCTGGAAAATGAGTTCTTTGCTCCTATTTGTGAACATTCAAAGCCTGCTAATGGCAAGAAGATGGAATAGATTATGAGACAATTCATTACAGTTCAACAGAAAAAAACCCTGCTATAATGCAGAAATGCAAGTATGAATATCTGCATATAGTTTGAACCATCTGTGCTCTAATGGCTTCAGTAATGGCTCTTCGTCTTCAGTAGGCTTTGAAATGACATCCATACAATATTAATTTGTTGATGTACATTATGAGGCCAATGGAATGAATATATTCTGACCACAGAAATCTCGGAATTCCAGCATGGTCTGCTGGTTGACTCCATTTTAGGACCTACCATCTTCAGTAGTACTTCTCATCCAGACTTAGCCAATCCTCACAGTGTTTCATTCCTCTGGAGCTTTAGGAGACCACAGACAGCTGCATTCCTAAACCCCTCCATTCTTCAGTTAATGGCCATATGTTTGTTGTCATTTGGGCTGGCACTTAGTTCATCATTTTGGCCACTATTTCTAGCTTTTTTTGGCTCTGTGCATCTATATTGTCAATAAGACTGTTATTATACATTACAATAATTTGAAACAGCCAGATTCAACACTGAGATTAACTGAGTGGCTTTTTAGAAATTTGGTTGTGGTATTCTGTCAGGAGGTTCTTATTATTCTTTTAATACTTTGCAAACCAAACTAAATATCCTGCACATAAACAAAGAAGCGAATTGTATTGCATTTTTGTGTGTGACTCTTTAGTGACTTGCAGGAGAACTATGTTAACTGATGCTTGTTTTCTTCTGAAATAAACCATGTGGTAAAATTAGAAAATCAGTGATGTTCATCTCACTTAAACATTTACAGTAACACCCTTAACACTTAATCTTCACCATCTGAAGTTGGAAACTTAGAAACCAAGCGTTCATATATTCATTAAACACAGATCTCTTCAGTAAGTTACTGCAAAATATTCCAGTTGACATTTGGTTACATTGTGTTAACTGTTCTCAGTGACTCCAACATTAACATGTATAATTTGCCTCAGGTTCCTGGACATATTTCTTCGTAAGGCTCACTGTTATTCAGTTTCGGATTTAAAAAAAATAATCCTGATTTCTATTCATGTTTATTGCTAAAACAGATATAATATTCTGCAAGGATTTTCCCAACAGATGGATTGGATTATTTTATGCAACATAAACATGCAATCATACCAGAAAGTTTTGTTCTTGCATTAAGTAGTCTGTATTTCCAAAATACTCTTAAATCTTAATTCTAAATGCTACTTTGTGCAGGGAAAGTGGAAAATGTAACCTGGTACTATTTTGTCTAGATTTTAGTAATGAATAGCTTGAAGAAAGCTTGCCTCTATGTAATCTCTAGGCTAAGGTACAAAGGAGCCATATTAAAGCTAGGTATTACCATGCTTTAAAATGTTACTCAATTAACATTCATTTTTGTGGAATAGATGAATTTTTACTATGGCATAACTTGGTCACCACAGTGGTTCTGCATAAGATGAAATTACAGTGTCAAATGATCAGTTTTGTTATTATATCTTTTCCCATTTATCGTTATAGCTTATAGCTTTATGATGATATCTTCTGGTGTGATAACTGCTGTTCTCCAGGTTGCCAGGAATGTTGATCAAGATGGAAAATTTTTTAGCTCAAATAAATTTTATCTGTTTTAAATGTTGTTTTTAACCTTTTATAACCTTAACCTAGGAACAGAAGTTGTAAGAGTAAATACATCATGAACAGCTCTGTGAATTCAATCTTTCTGTAGAGTTAATAGTAATATTGCTTTAAAATGCTTTTTATTATTTTAAGGCATAGTGAGACATTGTCATAGTTCAAGAAGTCTCCAAACATATCAAGACTAAATATTAGCTGCTAAATTTAATTTTGTTGCTTTGTGTTAGAACTGAGAAATAAATTAAAATATAGGTTTAAAATTGGGCTACAAACCATATTTCATATTTCAGAGCCAGAGAAGTGTTATATGTTTTAATTATGGACACCTCTTTTTGCAGGTGTTAACAGTGACTTATCCATCAGTTTTTTGAGATATTCCAAAAGATAATAAATATTTTATATTACTTCACCTACATTATGTTTTTGTTATAGCTCTTAGCAATTGGACTAGATCCCAGTCCTGCAACTGATACTGAATTGGAAGAAATGTATGAAATTATTTGCAGAATATAAGTTCAGGTTAGTACCTTAGTATGCACATGATAAAAATGTGCTTTTGGCACAGTAAGCCCCATGTGCTTTTTGCTTTTTGTTTCTTTTTGGTATTTATGACAAATTTTATTTCTTTTTCCACCTTTTAAAATGGGACAAGGCAACTTCTGAGGAACTTGAATCATGCATCTGTGGGTTTTAGAAGCATTTTAAAAGGTTTTTTTTTCGTTTTTAAGGTCATTGCTGAGTCATACTTTAAGCTCTCAGCATCTGCTAGCATCAAAGTCAAAATCAGTCCTAGCAAGATTTCATCTCTTACAAGAGCTGCTTGTAAATGAGAAGGTACCAGCTGAGGATATTTTGTCTGTGGAAATAAGCAATTACAAACCTTTGAACAGAAATGCTGCTGAATCTCAGTGGTAGTTCTGTCACAATGCTATGCCAGGATAGGCTCATTCTGGTTAGGGCACCTCAGGTGGCCTCTAGTCCAGCCTCCTGCAGGGTGAGGGGTATCCAGCCTGGGCTCAGGGAACAGTTTCTGTCTGTGTGCCCTGTCATGAGCTGGTGTCCAGGCCAGAGCAGATACAGCCCTGAGCAATGGGGTCTAACATCAAGAGCTGACCATTACTGGTGTCTAAATACATCTCACTGCAGTAGTCCAGTGTCTGCCACTGTGCAAGACAGGTCTTGAGCTTGATCAAGAAGTGATTTTTTTGTGGATTTGGAAAATAATTTATTTCCAAGTTAGACAAAATGTCATTCTTTTTGGATGCAAAATCATTTCCTACGTATTCAAGCAGCAAGAGCTAAAGTGTTGTTGAAAAACTATTGGGGAAAAACGGTCAATTCTTTGACCTACTACTACAACAACAACAAAAAAATCAATGAAGTGAAGTTTCTTTTTCTTGAAAAACTGTTAACCAGTGCTTATTTTGATTACCTACTCATAAGTATAAATAGCTACAGTAGCTGATAGTCTTTGATTTCAATGATAATGAAAAACAGAAGATGTTCTACCATATACAGGGCAATTTTCCCAGTGAAATGAAAGGAGACACCAATCAGCATCTGATTCCAAACACAAAGTACACGAACAATGAAGAGAACACAGAAAACCTAAGAAAACATTAAAAAAAATCTTTACAGAAAATCTTTCTACATTTTGAAAATATTCCTTAACCTTTCTTCTGTAATAAGCAGTTATTTTAGTATAGCAAAATCAGACCCATTTGGAAACTTTCCAATTGGTGTTGTTAGTGGTATAATTTACATCTTAGATGAAATGCACAAAAATGGATGTATTTATAAAACAGAACCAGTTGTGTATCAGCATGCAGTAGATATAACCTCAGCAACAGTATATATTGGCAGGCCTATGTACAGTTAAGGCAAACAAGGCTGTGTAACTTGTCATTTATTTTAGAATGGAATTTAGTGATTGACTCAAAGTCTGTAGTAACAGAGCTTTTTGCAGACGTTTGTGAAAGTTATGTGGGATTCTATTTCCACCCACAACATGAGACAGACATGATAGGGGCTGTAACAGAGGCCCTGTGCAGCTGTTGATGGATCCTAGAGCAGCATGTGTTGTGGGGAGCAGTGGGTGCTGGAGCTTTGGTGAATCTCTCCTCTGTGTCTTCTCTCTTGGAGCTGGCACGTTTAGGAAGAGCACAGAATTTGGCTGTGAGACAGGCTGTTTCTGCATTTTCATCCTTCTCTGAAGGATAGTCTCCCTAAGGCAGGAGAGGTAATTTTGTTTTAAAATCAACAGATGGGCTCTGGGGAAAGTTGACAAGAACTTCCTAGGTGCTACAAATCAAAATACTTTTTGTGTTTCACTTGCACTGCAGTTAAGTGGGAAGTCCAAAT